CCGGCACATCGAACCCTCTTCCCGAGGCCCCTTTATTGCTTTTCTTATGCATAGTTAATGTTGCTAATTAATACTTTTGATTGTAAACTAATTAGCTTGCGAGTTAGTTAATTTGTGTATTATTTTTTCGGTTCTTCCGAGCGAGGGCAATTTGTAAAGTGTGGTGGTGAGTTGTGCATGCCTTCCAACCCCCACTTCTTTCTCCCTTTTCTTTCACCTTCTTTTGATGGTTAGTAATAGGTCATGTTTAATTTAGCATACCTTATGCTATGCATGCGTGCATCCATACATTTGTCTTGCATGCACCGGGCTCGGTACACCATGCTAACTGCATTTTGTACTTCAATTTCAAATTAATACGTGAACTCAATTGATTGCGTTTCAATCATGCATGTTTAGGTTAGCCGAGCCTACTCTAATTGCATCCTGCATGTGTTGCATTATCAATTTTGACATGAACTAGGACCATGCATGTTGGCTAACTAGTTTATTGTTTGGCTCGGAGTACTCGGTAAGCATTTATGCTTTAGCAATATCGCATGCGTGTGAATGTTGATACATAGTAAGCATGCTTACAGATGGTGGCTAGTACGCATTAGGGATAAACTGCCTCATAATGCCTGTGGGTGAAGGTTGGGTGCCTAAGTGGAATAGCTCATGAAATCTATGTTTTTAGCTAGCTTTGCGACAGCAAATTCCAAAACATTTTCCAAAACAGACGGATATACAATGCTTATTCCCAAATAGACAATCTAGTCTATACTTGTTTCGCTGTGCGCATAACATCAGTAATTCTTAGGCAATAATAATGGGCGGAATAGAAGAAACTAATTAAGTTTCAAAAAACGGATATCACGTTTAGTAGAGGCCGATCTTCGGATCGGGGATGAAGGGGGGGTGGCTCATAGCTGACCTTCCCCAATCGTACCCTAGCTCCCGAGCCGAGACAACTCCGGTGATGACGGACATGTGGCCTTCGGCACCGAGTCAGGGTTTCCTAAATTCTCCCATTTTAAAATATTTAGGTGGCGACTCTGTATCTGGCAAAGCAGTCCATGTTTGGCACTTCTTTTCAAAAATCTGTTTCTCAAAACGATTTGTCGGATTTGGACTCTTTGGTTCAGATTAAGAACCGTGACACAAACTGAGTCCGAACTGTAGCGAGGGGCCCCCCACGCGGGCGTGTCTACACCAGTTTTTCTGTTTGTAGCCCAAAAAAGTAGCTGGCTGACCAGAAAAAGTGGTCGGCCAACCACATATCCTGGGAACCTCCAGTTTTGTGACATTTGTCCTCCAAACAGTGCCTTATCCTTTATAAAGGTTCCAGCTTCGTGGTTCCCTCATTCCAACTCAGTTTTGCACCAAAATGGAGGCGTTCCTCACCCAAAATCTCACAAGTTGGATTGCTTCCTTGGACGGCTCGGAAAAGTTGAATTTCCAGGGCTTCGACATAAATGCACTATTCACGTTGAGTCACACTCCACTGCGTTTTCCTTTCCTTTATGCTGCGGCAAGTTTTTGGAACCCGATAACACACGTCTTTAACTTTGGCGGGCAAGAAGTGTGTCCCACATTTGAAGACTTCCAAATTTTGATGGAATCCGAACGCGAGGAAGAAATTTTGCCTCAGCTGCGGTTCGGCCACGTCCAAGCCTTAGGAAGGATGTGCGGCCTTACTTTGCATGACGCTCGGTCATTCATTCACGACGGGGAGCTATACATTCTGAGCTTGGCTTGTCGGTTTTCTGATGCCGTTGACCGCGATGACCATGACTGGCAGGGTTATTGGTGACATGCACTTTGCTTGTGCATGTTGTCCCATTTCTTGCTTGCCCCAAGCTCTGGTGGGTTTAGCACTCGTTTGATTGAGGTTGTCGAGGGCCTACGAGAGGGCAAAAGCTGCATCGCCTTGACATTGGCTGAGACATTGATAGGCTTGGACGCTTTTCATCGCCGGGAGACGGCTAGCTTGGCGGGGAGTCCACTATTATTACAGGTAATGTTTTCCACCCTATCTCACATATATTTCTCACGTCACTCGGCCCTTAGGCTCGGTTTTTCTCTCAAAACCCTTTTCTCACTTTTTCTCTCAACGAATATCTCTCTATTCTTTAATCTCTCATTTTTAATCCCTTCCCAGATATGGTTGATGGACAAATTGAGGATTGTGGACTCCTGCCCTGCATACTCAGCTCATAACTATTTCTTCCGACAACGTCTAGTCGATGCCCCCGATGAGGGATGGTGGTTTGACTGGATGTGTAGTTTGTCCGCAGACCGCATTGCTTGGCGTTGTCCTTGGCTCAATCTGCCGGCAATGAGCTATAGTATGACTCGCCAGCCTGGGATTCAGTTGATTGGCTTGACACACTGCATGTTCTATTTTCCTTTCCGGTTTCGGCGTCAGTTCGGACATGATCAGACTTGCCCGGCAAAAGGGATAGAGTACCCTGCTACATTTCCAGTCCGAGGCACTCAGCTGGCTCGGTATGCCATGGCATGGAGGACTAGAGAGCTTCTGGCCCCCGCTCCCACTTTCAGTTGCACCCTCTCTGATGAGTGCATAGATTGGCTCAATGAAGAGGCATAGGTAGGGCCTAACTTGGCATCAGAGGCTTCGACCAGCTCTGGGAGGGGACACAGGAGCACCTGACTATGCCCCGAAGTTATTTGCTTTAATTAGAACTTTCAAGTTTTCTTTACGAATGTAATGAAAAGCAACTTCAATTTTATATTCACGAGCAAGAGAACTCTGTATTGAAATCAATGAAATTGAAGGTTGTAGATACTGAAAATTTTTCATTGGGTCAAAAAATGGTCTAAGTTGTAAAAAGATTAATTTGAACAAAATCAACTTTTATTAAAACTTTTCAAAACCATTTTCGATATGGATCAGAACTGGACACGCCTGAGATCTGTCACTGAGATGCACAACCCCGGATTCCGGTAACTGGAAAGTTGCCCCTAGTCTGAGTAGCACTGCACCAGAGATCATAACCGAGCTCTTGAATGCTGAATAGACAAAGATGACTAAACATAATCACATGGACAAAGTTGATCAGGGAAGTGTTTATGGCTGGACTTCGGGATGAAGTTGCCTACGTATCCCAAAGATGGGAATCAAGCCTTACGTAGTTCGGCCTGGGTTCACTTGTGTATTAGCACTCTCCTTTTGCGCTATAACTTTTGCTAAGGCCGCCCTTTGCGGGTTTTCAACCTTGCGAGCTCAGTTTTTATAATTTCAAATTTTCTATGCTCTAACTTTTGCCTAGGTCGCCCTTTCGGGTTTTCGGCCTAGCGAGCCACTCAGGGATAATATTTCTTCAACTTGTCCATGTTGATCGGTTGGGAGAACTCTAGGCCATCTAGGTCCATCAGAATGACAGCTCCACCTGACCAGATAAACTTGATGATATAAGGACCAGTCCAATTGGGTTTGAACTGGCCCCTATGGTCGTGAATGGGAGCTCGGTTGTCTTTGAGCACCAAACCTCTTTCCTTCAAATTTCTGGACTTAACTTTCTTGTTGAAAGCCCTGGCAATTCGTCGTTGATAACCCTGAACATGGTACAGTGCTTTTAGCTTTCTCTCATCAAACAACATAAGTTCTTCGAACCTCCTCTGCTGCCAATCTGCCTCAGCTATCTAACACTCAGCCAGTACTCGTAATGGCGGAACCTCAACTTCGATGGGTAGAACGGCCTCCATCCCATAAACCAATGAATACGGAGTCGCCCCAGTAGAAGTTCTAATTGACGTCCGGTAGCCCCATAGAGCAAACGGCAACTTATCTGGCCAGTCCCGGTAGGTTTCCACCATTTTCTGCAGTATGTGCTTGATGTTCTTGTTGGCAGCCTCAACTTCTCCGTTGGTCTGCGGCCGATATGTGGATGACTTATGAAAAGCCACGTTGTACTTGTCCAACAAGTCGATCACCTCCTTCTTGAAGTAAGAGCCATTATCTGAAATGATCTCATTCAGAACCCCATAACGGCAGATGATGTTGTTCCTGATGAACTTGGCGACATGCGAAGCTTTCAACACCGTATATGACTGGGCCTCAACCTACTTTGTAAAGTAGTCTATCGCGACCAGAATGAACTCATGCCCGTTAGACCCCTTCGTGGTGACAGCTCCGATCACATCAATCCCCCAGACTAAAAATGGCCATGGCGAAGTCATGTTGTACAGCTTTGACGGCGGAATGTTCATGCGGTTTGCATGGATCTGGCATTTGTGGCATCGGCGGACAAAACCAATACAATCTTCCTCCATGGTGGACCAATAATAACCCTGTCTAAGGATCTTCCAAGCTAGCATTACCCCGTTCATGTGCGCTCCGTACTCTCCTCCATAGATGGCCTCCATCAGGCGCTTTGATTCTTCGGCATCAACACACAGCTTATGCATCCCGAGATGACCTCTCTTGTACAGTTTTCCTCCGTAGATGATGAACTGAGCAGCCATTCTTCGAATTGCCCTCTTATCTTTGGCATTTGCCCTTGGTGGATACACCTCTTTTTCCAAGAAGTTCCAAACATCGTAATACCAGGGATTCTCATCTTGTTCCTCATCTATGGCGGCAATTAGCTCGTCGGCCGGCACAAATTTCTGGTTAATGATGATCGGACGCATGCGGACTCCGAAAGGGATGTCTATCATAGAAGATAAAGTTGCTAGTGAATCTGCGAATCTGTTGTTCTCTCTTAACAGATAAGCGAAATTCAGCTTTTCAAACCGAGAAATCAGTAAGTCCAAGGTCTGGTGGTAAATTCTCATCTTTTCTTCTTTGACTTTCCAATCTCCTTTAGCTTGAGATACAACAAGGTTCGAGTCCCCGATGACGTCCAACCGTTTTGCCCCTAGTTCTAGGGCAGCTTCTAAACCAGCAATGCATGCTTCATACTCTGCTTCGTTGTTCGAGACTTTGAATCGGAGTTTAAATGCTAGAGGGATACGGGAATTGTCGAGTGCTATCAGCAGCACCCCTATCCCATACCTTTAAAAGGGGACTCACGCCCACAGTTTTGAGGTGAACCAAAAGTTGAAATTATATGAATAAGACCAGGACAAGAAATTGAAAAGTTTTACACGAATGAAAACAAGATAAATATCCATCTGCCATTCAAATTTATCAAATTCAAACTTAAATTAAAAGTGAGTGGTAGTATAAGAATACCAGAAAAACAATGTCGCTGTGTTGAACTCTCTCTTCTCCTTCTTTCATTCAACCTCACTGCAAATTCAAAAGCATTAGTCTGGCACATACAAACATCACACGGAATAAGAACAGGGAAGTGTACAGTGATAATCATAATAACGAAACCGAGTGTAATGTATGACCTTGTCTGAGAAATCTCCGACGCAAAACGTCATTAAATCTCCGATCAGAGCTATCTAAAAACCGATTAGGGTTCAATTCCCCCAATTTATCGAAGAAATAGCATACACAAGACGCACTTTGCGGAAACAAGTCGCATTGTGAATTGTCTGGAACCAAAAACCGCAAAAACATGTAATGTAATCATTCAATCTCCACCAAAAACCAAAGACACATACATAGATGTATATTTTTAGAGAGAGAAGAAACCTTCAGCTTGCTTGAGGTCTTCTTTGAGCCTGAGAAGCTCTTGTTTTCGATCCTTCGCCTGAAAGGTCCAACAACGTGGACGAAATTATGCTTTTGGATCTGATCGTTCTTTCAGAGAGAGAGAGGGAGAGAGAGAGAGAGAGAGAGAGTTTTGGAAGAGAGAGAAATGGACCTTTCGCTTCCATTTTTGAGACGTGGATTGCGAAGATGGAGAAGCAGATGGATGATGAAGATGAGGAGGAGGAGGAGGAGGAGGAGGAAGTTTTTGGAGGAGCTTTGATCGGAGAAGGGCCATTGTTATTGCGAGCTTCAGAGATGTATTCGAATCAGTCTTCGCTTGCTCTTCCTATTGCATGCACCGGGCTCGGACACATCAATACAAAAACCTGCAATTGTATTTCAAAATACCTTTCTGAATACGTGTTTCAAGACGCATGCTTAATCAAGTGTTACATTCATATGCCATTCTAGATGCCGAGCTTTTTAAGTTGCATTTTTTTGTAGTGGTTTTTTAACATTATGCAATCTTAACATAGCTAGCGATCATGCATGATTCTCTAACTAGCTTCTGTTTTGGCTTCGAGTACACTGTGAGTGTTTACACTTTTTGCATCCTTGCCATGCGTGTAAGTGCACTGTCCATGATCGCATGCTTCCATGTAGGCTATGGTGCTTGATGTGATTAACTGCATGAATGCCTGTGGATGAAGGCTTCAACTTGCTTGAATTGGAACAATTCATGGAAGGGCGAGTGGGTGATGAGAGGAATGATGGGTGTTTGTGCGCGTAAGGGCCGCGGAGGGTGGAGAGTTGTGAGGTGTTGTCGAAAACCATTTTCGACAAATATGAGATGTTTGTTTCGCAGATTTGTGTTGAGTGTGATAATGTAAATGTTGTCGCATCACATAGTTTGGATTAGCTAAGTAAAACCGGAATAAAGAAACATGTGTTTCAAAAAAACAACATATCAATGTTTTAGTAGAGGCCGGATCTTTGATCGGGCGTCGAGCGGGAGTGCTCATGTTATGAACCTTCCCCTCTCCTACCTGAGTTCCCGAGCCGAGGCAAACTTTGGTGATAACGGACAAACGTGGCCTGAGCAGTGGGTCTAAGGATTGTCGAAGAAAACAAAATATTTAGGGGAGGAGGGTGGTGGAAGGCATGGGTGTTGGAGGAAATTGAGTGGCAGAAAACGAGGTTGGGGAAGTTGGGACTGGTGTGAGTTTTAGGAGGTGTGGACGAGGCAGTGGTGAGGAGACCGGAGAGGGAGGTAGTAGCAGAACGACGATGCGCCGTGGCTCGGAGCGGAGTTCGGGCGGTTCTTACACCACGAAAGGATTTTCAGGGTTTGTGAGAGGGTGATTTGTGAATTGGAAGTGGTGGGTGGTGAGGTGGAGATGGGGATTCTAACTAAACTCGAGATGTAGATGGGTATTGTGGGCTTATTTATGAGATGGGGTGTCCAATATATTTATATATTTTTTCGTACTTCACTTTGAAGGTTATTATTGTATAATAATTATTAAAAAAAGACTAAAAAGTAGGGATCCAAAATAATTAATGGGGTGCTAATAGTGTTGGATGACAGATCTTTTGTGTAAACCAAATAAAATTGAAACAAATCAAACAAAACAAACAAAAATAAATTACTTACAGAATTTATTTACCAAAAACACTTAACATTAAAAATAATTCAAGTCGAGTGTGCGACACTCTGTCCTTAAGAATATATTCGTCCCGTTCAGGTGCTTATGAAAAAATGGCGTTTATCTCCCAGGAAAGATTGCATTAGCACTAAAAAATAATCTGTTTCGGCGAACTAGAACCTGGTTCTATACTCTGAGAAATTTCCTTAAAACTAGTATGAAAGAATATGTACAAGAGAGAGAAAAAACGGAGAAGAGAATTGTGTTTATGGATTGGAAAATCTACTGGAAAGGTCTGCATATTTATAGGAAGTTGGTGACTGTTTGGCAGATCGAACAGGTTCAAATTTGAATTGAGTAGGTCTGATCAAGGTCTGACTAGATGCAAACCCAAACTGAACAGATACAATCTTCAAACTGAACATGTCGTGATGCAGATTTTTCAAATCTGTTTGATCTGTTGGAAAATGTGGAAGAAATTTTCGACGGAAGAAGCACGTATTTTGGACAGAAAATTTGAATTCAAATTTGCGCAAATTTGAATTAATTTCGTTTAGAAATTCAAATAATTTTTCTGAAAGAATTTTGGAAAAATTCAAATAAATTTTATCAAAAACTAATATTAAGACCGACCCAACTACAACCCTACACCATGCTTGGCACGTGCTCGGCCGGTGGGACGAACGACAGCGCGCGTGTGGTATGTGGTGGTTTGCCCCAAAACTCACTTTGTCTATATCTCCTCCCTTCTACAAACTTGGGGTGCCCCTTTGGGACCCAACCTAAGTGTGTCCACCTAGAGCTTATATACACACACAAGCTCTCTTAAAGTTTGAATGTGGGAACAACCATTTTAAGAAACCCACATTTTACTCTTTAATTGTCCATTTCCATGAACCCAAAAAGACGTCAAGTTCCTATTCACTTCATAAATAGTTTTGACGAACCTCTTTACTGTACTTGCATGCGGCAAGGAACAATCGTCACTTATTTGGACCACCCCAAAAAAATGTGTGGGCCCACGCTAATAATTTGGGTTCAAAGTTGCCCAAATAAGCCTATAAAATCAATTTTTCCACAATCTCCCACACTGAATGGAATTGATGGGAAGAACATGCAACAATATGATCTAATTTACAGAGAGTACAGAAATCAGAAATATTCTACAAAGGAAGTGTGCTTTTGGGCTTTGAACCTTCCCTTTGAAGCACTATTGGATTTATTTAGCTAACCAGTGAACATGATGTCTTAAATTGCTTAGCCATTCTGTGTAACAAGACAATAGAACTCACAGTTATATTACAGACATAGTTTTATTCTAATCATTATTGTGTTCATTTTGGCCCGAATAACCTGGTTCTTCATGAGGTGTTTTTAGAGAATTGTAGCCTTCACAAATCCTCATAGAAATCGGTTTCAGTCACACTCATTATAGGTGATTCTTATAAGAGTATCCTGCTATACTCTCACTAGGTTATTCCCAGATACAAGATCATTAAAAGTATTACTTAACCTAAAACGCTGCAGACATCACTATTTTTATCATAGAAATGGGTAGGAGTTTGACTGCCTAGTGATCCTTATGAGTTCATACACAACCGGTTTTCCCTTTGAACCTAGATCTTGGGATCTCCAGTCAACTAGGTTGGGTTATCGTTGTGGTAACTCTTATTTAATAGGCTTAAGTCCCATTCCCTCAATGAATCTTAACTAACTCTCTTGTTAACCCTTTGGTTAGTGAAATCGCTATGTTGTCTTTAGACTTCACATATTCATGGAAATAATTCTATTTAGAGAGTAGTTGTCTCACAGATGTTAGTTGACGACGAGGAATGTGTCCGTGACTTACGTTATACATATGACTCTATGCTCACCTATGTGTGATTGCAATCGCAATGTATGTATATAGTAGGCACAGGTTTTGGCCACATTGAAATATCTTCAAGGAAGTTGGTGAAGCATTCTGCTTCTTCCCCAGTTTATCTAAAGCTATAATCTCTGATTCCATAGTAGACTAGCAATGCAAGTCTGTTTGGAGATTTTTCAAGAATACAGTCGCACAACCAATAGTCAAAGACATACCCACTGGTGGATTTTGAATCTCTAGTATCCGATATCCAGTTTGCATCACAATATCCTTCAGTACTGCTAGATATCTAGTATAATTTAGTCCAATGTTACGAGTAAATCTGAGGTATCTTAGAACCTTATAATTGTTTTTTAGTGTTTCTACTCTTGGATTACTCGTATATCTACTCTTAATTTAGTTACTGCGTAAGCTATATCCGGACGAATACAGTTCATTAAGTACATTTAAGCTTACACTAATTTGGGCATACTCTAATTGAGAAATAATTTCCTGTACATTTTAAGAAAGAAACAAATTTAACATCCACAGGTGTTCTAGCAAGAAGATCATCATTTTGCTAAATTGTCAAGTATTTTCTCAATGTATGTGATTGTGACAAAGCATAACCTTCTGATGTTTTGGTTAATTTTCATACCAAGTATTACATCAGCAATCCTCATGTCTTTCATGTCAAAATGTTTATTCAATAAATTTCTTGGTAGCTTACCTATGATGAAGCATATCATCCACATAAAGACGTACTATAGCATAACCTATGTTTGTGTTTTTTAATATAAACACATTTGTCACATTCATTAATTTTAAATTCATTTGACATCATTGCCTTGTTAAATTTCTCATGCATTGCTTTGGCTAAATCATAAAATGATTTCACCAATTTACCAACCTTTCTTTTCTTTTTCCTAGAACAGAAAATCCTTCGGTTGTTCTATGTAAATTACTTCATTTAACTCACATTTAGGTACGATTTTCGCTCCATTTGCTGAATTTCTAGATTATACAAAGATGCAATGGCAATTAACATTCTAATGGATGTTATTCTAATAATTGGTGAGTATGTGTCAAATAATTCAAGACCTTCTTTTTGTCACTATATCTTCTAACCACAAGTCTTGCATTATATATGTCAATTCATCAATCCGTTTCATTTTTCTTTTGAAAATCCATCTTGTACCAAGAGGTTTACAACCTGGTGGCAAATCCACCAATTCTCAAGTGTGATTTTGCAAGATAGATTCAATTCGCTATTTTACAGCCTCGTTCCATAAAGAAACTCAAGACTGGACATAACTTCTTTGAAAGTTAAAGGCTCATTTTTCTAACAAAAAAGTTTAGAAAATCTGGACAAAAGATTTTGAGGTTCTAGCACGTTTACTACGCTTAGGTCCTCTTTTCATTTTGATCTATCTCTTACTCTTGTTCTTGATCTTGTTTTGATCATGATTAGTAATAGCATCATAAGTTCTTTTTATTTATTACTAGTTTCTTGTCTAGTTTTATTCTGGAAAACATGTTCAAAGAATGATGCATTCTGAGATTTAATAATAGTATTTACATGCATTTTAGAATGTTTCTGACTTATGAATAAAAAATCGATATGCACTATTATTCTTGGCATAACTAATGACTATGCAATCAACAGTTTAGGATCTTAGTCTTTTTAGGACTAGGAATAGCTACTTTAGCCAAACATCCCCACACTTTTAAGTATTTTGTAGGGTGGTACTCTCCCATGCCACATTTCATAAGGTGTTTGATTTACTTTCTTTTGGGGAACTTTATTATAGAATATAATTAGCAAAAAGTATTGTTTCCCCCACAAGTTCT